TGTGAGCATCTTGACCAATCACAGTTCCAGAGGAGTGTTTCTGAGGAGAGTAAATTATTATATATTTATTATTATAAATGCAATGTAAGCCAATCTGTCAATCGTGTCAGATCCCTGATTCACAAACATGTTTGTAAATATCACAAGGGAGATCGCAACATGTAGCAATATAACTGTAGCGTAAACGCAATACTAATGTTTTTTCCATTTCATGCAGCTTGAGTATGAGCTTTAAAGGAGAATTCCACTCATTTTTTAAAACATCTGTATAATTAAGTTGTTAAGATGTAAAAAAGTCAGTGGTCTGATATGAACGGCCCATTCTAGAGACTCTTACTGAGTCGGAATTGTTCTCAGTGGTGGTGATAGGAACCAGACTGTCAGTCTGAAGAATCAAATGTCTCTAAAAGCTCCTGCACAGAAAGTTACTACACGAAATGGTCATGAATGGGCTTTTCTAAAGCCCGAGACATCGTATTATGATAGTATACACTGATCAGGCGTACCATTATGACCACCTCCTTGTTTCTATGCTCATTGTCCATTTGATCAGCTCCACTTACTATATAGGTGCACTTTGTAGTTCTACAGTTACAGACTGTAGTCCATCTGTTTCTCTGATACTTTTTTAGCCCCCTTTTACCCTGTTCTTCAGTGGTCAGGACCCCCATGGACCCTCACAGAGCAGGTACTATTTGGGTGGTGGATCATTCTCAGCACTGCAGTAACACTGACCTGGTGGTGGTGTGTTGTGCTGGTCTGAGTGGATCAGACTCAGCAGTGCTGCTGGAGTTTTTAAACACCTCAGTGTCGCTGCTGGACTGAGAATAGTCCACCAACCAAAAACATCCAGCCAACAACGTCCTGTGGGCAGCGTCCTGTGACCACTGATGAAGGACTAGAGGATGACCAGCACAAACTGTGCAGCAGCAGATGAGCTATCGTCTCTGACTTTACATCTACAAGGTGGACTGACAAGGTAGGAGTGTCTAATAGAGTGGACAGTGAGTGGACACAGTGTTTAAAAACAGCAGCACTGCTGTGTCTGATCCACTTGTACCAGCGCAACACACACTAACACACCCTAACACAAGGAGGTGCAAATAGAATCGCTATAGTTGCGCTTTAGACATTGAGAACCTCGGTTTCTAACACCACCACAGTAATTAACCATTAACCATAACTGCTTCTCTACAATGTACCACATTAAACCACTCCAAATGACTTTGTTTATATTTCAACCATTAAATTATGCAGAACTTTTGAAAAAATCAGCGAAATTCCACTTTAAATCCAGTCCTGAAGGGCCACAGAACTGCAGGGTTTCATGTCTATTTCTTTCTAACACAGCAGATTCAACTAATGAGGCTGTGAGGAATCAGTTATGTTAGAGCAGAGAAAACGATGCTATGCAATTCCGTGCAACCCCGACAGCGTCTGAGAAACACTGAGAAATAGAGGTATGGAATTAAAACGGTGCCTAAACTAAGAGCACGTGGATTAAAATGCTTTCGGTTGCATCTCACCCAGTTTAAAGCAGCAGCACAATTCCTTACAGTAAAATCATCTGCCGCTCATATTTCCAATCACCACTCTCATTAAAAACAGAATACAGGCTCCTTTAGCAGCTGACTAATGGTGAAACACTGACACCTAGTGGTAGTGAGGTACTATGGCCGTTTTAAATACTGTTTGGACATTTAAAGGGCCCATATCCTCCATTTTGTTGTATTTTATTTTTTCCCTTGACGTCAACTTCTAACATTCGTGTAGTTTTACGCACCAAAAACGGTCATGATTAACATTCCAACTTGTCTTTAAGACTGATATGTGTAAATGAGCTCCGTTCTGATTGGCTGCACTGTTTTGTCTCATTCCCGAAGCGGTCTAGGCTGAAACACTCCTTATAACTTCAGCATTAATGGGTGGGGCTAACCTGCTTTAAGCCGAATTTGTGTGTGTGTGGGTGTGTATATATATATATATATATATATATATATATATATATATATATATATATATGAGTTCTTGTGACATCACAGAAAAAATGAACTACAAACAGGCTGCTTTTCCATATATGGACAGTATGGACTGCAAAGTGAGTGGAACATTTCAAAACTTTAACAATCTTTACTTATTACTTCATGTTATTTAAAAAAAAAGGGAGAGAAATTTGCTTTTCTATGATATGGGCCCTTTAAATTTACCCCAGCACGGACCGAAATCTTGCATTCATCACTTCGGCAGCATTTCCAAATGGCAGTGAGAGAAAGAAAGTGTAGTACAGTGTGTAACTTGAATACTATTTCATGCAAAATTTCCTGGCACACCACCCTCACTGGTCACCACGCTGACTGAGGGTCAAGGCACATATACATTACGTTAAGTTTTACCCATCAAAATCATGGTTAACCCACAAAAGAGCTCAGCATCTCAATGCCACTTAAAGTGTTCACCTCAAACTGTCTGACAGAGATGGGAGGTTAGCTTCGAAGCACCATGTCAGCTAAAATGACTTAAAACCAAGTTCAATTGAGGTGATACGGCTGAATTCAGAGAGCAGCTGTGAGCTAATTATTTGAAGCGAATCCGAGCGCAAATGAGTCTGAATGTGCGACATTACGTGAAGAAAGCTGCACAGAACTCCAAAGAGATGTCCTGTTAATATTTTATGTTTTCATCAGTGCTTCGGTTGTCTTTCTATTGTTTTTATATTGATCGTTTGCTTAACATGGGTGGGCGTTACTAAGGCCACAGCACACGGGCTGAATTGAAATCTCACCTTCCCAGAGTTATTTCGCTCTATTCCGAATCCCGCGGGGTGCCTCTAGGCGACGGAATCTGACTGGAGGACAATTGAATTCAATCTCATCACGAAAAAAGAAAAAAAAAAAAAGCCATCCAAACAAAATAACAGTGGTCATTTCAGAAGCACATTCAATTTCAAAGCAGGAACGCACCTACTTGTGATGGCTGTGGCTCACTTATTATTGATTTTGATTGAAAAACCAATTCCGTCGCGTATACAATCATCACGTCAATCTCAAGAAGTGGCACAGAGGCACAGAAGTGACTGGGGGGCTCTAGGAGGCCTGCTAGTGCTCACCATGGTAACCTCCCAATTGAGATGGGGGAAAAAAAAAAACGTTGCTTTAATGTTGCCCCTGGGTTTTGGAAGGAACCTCGTACTTGAAGACCACGCTGAAGATCTTGCCTCCAAGCCGCTCGGCCAGCCAGGAGTTTTTGATGACGGCCAGTTTGAGGCTTTCGCAGCTCAGCATGGCGTAGTAGTTGGTGTGGATGGCGCGGCCCATGCCCTCTATAATCACCAAATCCGTGCCACGCTCACGCACCACCGTAGCAAGGACTTTGTCCAGTCGACTGGAGGTCAAAACAAAGAGGTGAAGCAGAAAAAAACTGAATTAGTAACAAATTTGCGAGAACTTGGCAATGATCTCAAAGAGAACTGACACAATTTGCCCCTTTACCCCAAATGTAACTGATTAGGAGAAAACATTGGGTGTCTGAAGTTCGCTTCTTCTGCACTGCAGCTATGAGGCTAATGTATCTAACAAGTAATGGAAACCTGTGTTCACCAATATAATCATGCAAACTGCATGGATAAGCCATTACACACTTGCATTACTCCATGTTTCTGACACTGTTATCTATAAAAGTAGACAAAAGTAAAGACAGAACTCGGGTTGATACCGTTGTTTTTAGCTATGTGAGGCACTTTTGTCTATTTTTATAGATAACAGTTTGACATACTTAAGCAATAGAACACAGAGGGAGTGTGTTATCGCGAAATAACATCACGGCTGTGATTTGGTCGCCGTAGATCATCACAGCCGTGATGTTATTGGCGATAACACACTCCTCGAGTGTTCTATTGCTTTTATACAACAGTTAAATAAATACAGTAATAAATTAATAAACTGGGCCGTGAACGCGGCGTTTCCTATGTTTTAATGTTCGCAGTTCCTTCACCAAATTATAGTTCCTTAACGAGCAGCTTGTTGCTACGTCAGAGTAACGAACTCCGCTCACTCGCCTTAGAAGTACAGACTGAGCCATAAATCTACTGCAATATCAAGTTCAGCTCAGTTTTGTCAGTTTTTGCCAGATCAGTATTAATGTTGTTTTGTTCCAGCCAGTCTGTAAAGCATCTTACAGCCCATTTAGTTTGGCGAATGGTGTTGGGTTCATTTCTGGCTGATTCCAGGTTGTTCAGCTGTTCTTCTGTCACAGCTGCCGACTGAAAAGCTGCTCAGTGGTGATGACAGTTTGGGAATTAGTCAATGGTATGAAAATACTGCACTGTCTGAGCTCGGGGTTTTCTAGACTGCAGCGTCCAGCCTGAGGAAATTCTCCACGTTTTCCGTACAGCTTAAGCATCGCAACGGTTAAGATGAAAAACATTTGGGTGCCCTGGTCCAAAGTGAAAACGAGTTAAAACGTCCTCTACAGAGAACACACCTCTGCATATTTTAATGCATAATTACTGTGTATTTGCTGAATTTAACATATTGGGGTACACAATAAAACGGGAGCCTGTGCAAAAGTTATGACACAATTTATATTTAATTTTTTGCAATATGTATAACTCAGCAAACAAGTAGAAACTGTGCACTACAATTTGCAGAAAATGACACATTCAAGTGCGTTCCCTGTAAAGGATAAGTTAACTTTTTTTCTCGTAGAAAATCAACAAAACGTAATGACGGGGGGTGTTCAAACTTTTGTATACAACTATAATACTTTATGGTTCCCCACAGACATAGAGTTCCAGAGTGTCTTCGCTATAATGACAGAAAATACCTCCTTTTTGTGAAAATCAATTATCCTTATTTTTAAGCAAAAATGTTTTATGGTAATTATTTTTACAAAAATCACTCAAGTCTAATTTAGGCACGCAGTGTGTACAATGCAAACTGGGGCACATAGGTTTCTGTTACTTGTAACCATAGATATACATTCCTAGATGCCGTGTTGTCTGTTGTTCTCTATCTGAGGCAATACGTCTGTGCGTCCGCCATGTTGGAGAGGTCAAGCTTAAATGGTGCAGCAGCTACATTTAAGGTGGAACGGGAAAATTCGAACAAGATGCTGGCAAATAAGAATCTAACTTCAGCTCTGTGTAAGAAGTTTCTAAAGTTAATCTATTATGAATATCTACACAGATTAAGGAATGCTGTAATTTACCGCTACAAAGCTTTAACCATCACTGTAAATAAATAACTACTACATAAAGTTAAGACCCCCTGAATAGACTATTAAATGAAATAAGCTTAATATAAAACCAGAGGAGAAACAATCACATCAACAGGTTCTCTGTGCTTCACCAACCACACAACCACATCTACACAAACATCACACAGACAATACACATCACACAAACATGAGTGTGGATCACTGCGTTCCCTCCGTTATATAATCCTATCCCACTTTCTGAGAGCAATATTCTTGAAACGGCGGCGGTCTTGACGTGCCTGGCTGGATCCAGTCTGTCATCTAGGTATGTGTATCTATGCCTGTAACCTACATTAGCCTTGTACTGAAGAATAAAGAAGCAAAGAGATGCTTTGGCTGATTGACTACATTTGGGTAAGGAGAAAACTGCGAAATTATTTATGTTTTTTGCCAAATTCTCTCTTTAACTGGTAAATATCTCCACAAGAAACAAATTCTTACCTCAAGTCTAAACAGGGTGAACTTGATCCACTCTGAACTAACGTTAACCTGTCGTCTTTTACTGCAGCCCTAAAAACAAACAGCAAAAAAAAGAGAAAAAGGAAACCAAAAATTCCAAAAAAAACAAACAAAAAGAAAAAAACAAATTAAAACAAAACAAAACAATCTGTAACTGTATTGAGGTTGGTGTGTGTACTCACTGGATGACAGGATCCATAGCAGCTATTCTCTCAGTGACTATCAGCAGCTCACTGTTCGTCACATCGTTCAGAGCAGGGCCCGAGTTGCTAGCGAGAACAACCTGAAAGACAACATGTCCACATGCAAAACAAAACATATAATATCCAAACAAATCAGAAGCTGGATAGTGTCCTCTGGGAGGTAATGAACAGCTATGCTGTGATAGACGTTACTCTTACCTCCGTGCCTCTGATGAGGAGTTCTCTTACAAAAGGGAAAACTCCCAGAATTATGTCCATTCCACTATTATCTACGAAAAACAACGCACATTTATGAGGAGGACCCTGCAAAAGAAAGCCAGCGAGCGTAGCGTTCAATCACTTCAGTCCCGAATGACATGTCACAGTTCAAAGAGACAGAAAAATTACAAAGTAAAAGGTAAAAGCAGTGAGAGTCACTAAAGGCCCCATGATGAGATACTTGAGCGATGACACAATGCTATTCTAGAGTTTCAGTCACGTGATTTTTCTGTTGTGGCCGCCATATTTGAGACCGAATTTCTGGCTTTGCTGCTCCGCTTGAACGTAACTAGAGGTGAAAGATGGCTAAAATCACTCTCCTTACTTTGGAAGAGAAAAACGTTCCTCAACAAAGTTGATAAAACAGGCTGTGATCCTCATACAGTTTCCCCTGAACTCCTGGTCCCACTTAAACTGGCGAAAAGATACCAAATCTGTGTTTTCCTGATATATTTATCTCATACTCAGCCCCTCCCCCTATTCTGGAGAGTCTCTCACAGCATTTAACAGCACAGAAGCCCACCGGCTCTTCACGTCAGGGTGGGTAAAGGATCCCATGGTGTTCATAAAGAGGAGAAACACTCCGTCATCATAGGAGGAACGACATCAGCTAATTAACACAGATGTGATCAATGCTGGCCTTTAGATCACTTTAGCTGAAGTTAACAGCCGAGAGATGAACAGTCGCCCCCCTAACGGAGCTGCAGACCGCCGGTATAACTTCACTCTCTGTTTCTGATTTAAATGACGTTTGAATGGAGAAACATAAGCGTTAAATATCAGACTGAATGTTGTGGGTCGGAAAACGACGTTGTGTTTCGACAGACGTGATTCTGTAAGTTTGCTAGTGCAGTTAGTTCAGAGTTCAGCTCCAGTCCTGAAACCCCTGCACTGCATAACTGTGGTTTCCTGGTTAAAATACCTGATATTATTAGCTAATTAATCCCTTCTTGAGCTGAACGAGGTGTGAACAGCAGAGAAACACTAAACTATACAGTGCAGCGGCTCCAAACCTGGAGTGAAAACACTGAATTAAGGTCTGTGTGTCTCTCGTCATTCTCGTCAATCGTTCAAAAAGCACAGAATCGCGCAGCCATTCCCTGATTCGGTCCTCAAAATGGCGGCGACTATACAGTGTGACATCAACGCGAAATGCGATAATAGAGATTTTACTGAAACTCATTAAACACTAAATACTGCGATATAATGTAAATTATAGCTCATACTGCAAAAGTCTGTTTTAAGTAATAGTGTAGACTTTGCTCTCCTCAGAATCTTTTCACTGAAGCACAGTAGAGCTGTTAAACAGTTATGTTCAAAAACACATTAGCAGAAATCTTTATCCAGACTATCTGTTACTACAGTTCTGTATAGTGCAACAATATTGTAGTCAACTGTTTATGAATGACTCTCATTACATGTGTGTGCAATACTTCCTCACTGCCCAAGCCAGTGTATACATGCAAACTGTGGAGCAGATAAAGTTCAGAGGTTGTATTACAGAAACTTCTTAAGTCTTCTTAAGTCTTTTCTAACTCTGCGTTTTAAAGATCTCAGACGCTGCAGACTCGATCTCCACCGCCCCTCTGATCACCTTCGTGTCTTAATGTTGATGATGAAATATTACAGTGATGGTGGTGAATAATGAGGAGACGGAGCTGAACATGTGTCTGTTTATTAGGAGGAGTAACGTTAGCTCACTCAGCTAAAGCGTTTGGGAAATGGAGACTGAAACTGTGGAGACGGTGACTCCGATAAACAGCATGAAACGCTGTCGCAACAGTCTTAACTCTCAGTTTATCGCGCTTTAGTTTGTTTGTCCTTTTTTGTCCATTAGTAACAGAAGCTTGGCTAACTAGCTTGATTACATGTTTACGCTTCAGCTGTGCGAGTATGGCCGGTTGCTAGGTAACAGACATGAGAGTTGATTGCAGATTTTGATCATGTGGATTAAGATTCTTAAATTGAGATAAGTTTTGCTTCTGTAATATGACTTTGTGAAAAATCTGATCTTGACTTGTCAGATCTTAAGTTAAGACAAAAAGATTATAGAAAAGATTATAGAAAAGTTTCTATAATACGAAAGTGGTGTTTAAGGTAGTTGGTCAAACACTACAGAGCGAATTCAAATACTAATAAACAAAAGGGCCTTGCAATGTACAAAATGCCCAAAAGTTATTTCGTTTGGGGCTGTAATGTCAAATACAACGCCAGCAATGGTTTAAAAGAGACTGATCACACTGTCAAATAGCCTTGATCAATTTTAAAGCTTTCTAAATAAACATTCAGAACAAATCAGGACAGATCATAACATTTAGCACCAAACTTCTAATGATATTCAGCTTTTTTTATTCAAGAATTTATAAGCCTTAATTCCTACATCTTTGGGTTAATCAGGACTGTTGCAGCTGCCAGAGGAGTGGCTATATCGGCACTGTCCAGCATGGCCATGCTCCCTCGTTTACCGTGGGCAACTTTGCAACTTTGTGAAAAGAAACATTTGCAGGTTCAAACTACTTCAAAACATTTTGAGAAGGATTTAAAGAAGGACTTCTAACTCAGACTGAACTGTTTCTGAGGACACTCGACAGAAACAGACAACCTGAGCTCAGGTAGGCTGCCTGTAATAACTGAGCTAACACTGCTTGAGCTGCTGGAAAGACAACTTTACAAAATGTTTGTTTCGGCTCAGCAGAGTTAACTGAAATATACGGGGGTACATTTCTGTTGTCATCTATAAACTGAGCTCACAGACTCCAGTATACATGTTTTCTTCTTGTAGTGCAGTTGCACTTCTATCATGGGAAGCATGTTGACAGCAGTGTCACATAAACCATCATATAAGGTCCTCACCTTCAGCCTTTCAATCCACTGGCTGTAGGCATCCACAAGCCAAGGTCGCTCTAGAAAAAAACAAAAACATTTACAACCAAATCCGATCTCTCTGACACGATGGTTCACACTCGTTTAGGTAAGTGATTCAAATCCGTCATTAATGTGACGAACCGGCGTCCTGAAATGACCCTCATGCGCACATCCTACTCAGTAACGTCACGTGAATGAATCACGTTCATCATCAGCACAAACTAACGAGCAGAACGAGCTTCGCTGAGAAGATAATTAACTCTGATCAGCTCTCAGCTTCATTATTAGAGCGAGACGAAGGAGAAAAAGGTGAGATGAGCTGCTTTTCCACCGTTTACAGGCTTTAACTTCTGTTCGGCGCTGCTGCCATGGTAACGCTGAATGATGGCGCAGCACAGCGGAAAATAAGCACATGAATTCCGATCTGAGCGTCACATTAAGGTCGCATGAATCGGAAACGTATCCGATCTAGGACCACATACGAAAGTGGCTCAGGTCGGAGTTTCTCTGCATACTTTGTTACCCTGTTCTTCAATAGTCAGGACCCCCATGGACCCTCACAGAGCAGGTACTATTTGGGTGGTGGATCATTCTCAGCACTGCAGTAACACTGACTTGGTGGTGGTGTGTTAGTGTGTGTTGTGCTGGTCTGAGTGGATCAGACACGGCAGTGCTGCTGGAGTTTTTAAACACCTCGGCGTCACTGCTGGACTGAGAATAGTCCAGTTGCTCTGTGGTCGTCCTGTGGGGCTAACAAAGTACGCAGAGAAACAGATGGACCACAGTCTGTAACTGTAATCATATGTGACTGTCTGGTTCTTAGTAAATCAGATTCTTCAGGATGGAGGAAATAAAGACTTCTTACCTTGTAACTGGTGTTTTGCCTCTTCAAATCCAAACTCTGGATCTGACTCGAGAACACTGGAAAACAAGAACGTTGGGACTCCTGAAAATTCTTACCACACATTACACACAGTTTCCAAAAAAGTTGTGACGCTGTAAAAAGTCTAAAGACAAACAGAATGTAATGATGTGCAAATCATTTAAACCCTATATTTGATTGAAAAATAGTACAAAGACAACAACTCAAATGTTGAAACTGGGAAATTTTATTATTTTTGAAAAATATAAACCCATTTTGAATTTGATGCCAGAAGACATTTCAAAAAAGTTGGGACAGGGGTCACGAAAGACTAGTAAAGTTGTGTAACATCAAAAAAAAAAACAAAAAAAAAAACTGGTGGTTGACTGGCAACAGGTCAGTAACATGACTGGGTATAAAAAGCATCCCAGAGAGGCTGAGTCTTTCAGAAGCATAGATGAGGAGGGGTTCCCCACTCTGTGAAAGAGTGTGTGAGCAAACAGTGCAACAATTACATGCAAGAATAATGATTTTCAACGTAAAATAGCAAATAACTCATCATCTACGGTTTACAATATCATTAAACGCTTCAGAGAATCAGGAGAAATCTGTTAAGAGATGTTGTTAAAAGTGTGTTAAAAGAAGAGGTGATGAAACACAGTGGTAAACACGCCCCTCTCCCAACTGTTTTGGAACGTGTTGTTGGCATCAAATTCAAAATGGGCAGACATTTTTCAAAAAACAATAAAATTTCTCACTTTTAACTACTGCTTTGTTGCCTTTGTACTATTTTTAAATAAATTTAGGGTTTAAATGATTTGCACATAATTGAATTCTGCAACTTTTTTGAAAACAGGTTTGTATATTAAAAACAAAAGCGTTCGAATATTAATATAAATATGACAGAGATATTAAAAGCAGCGACTCTAAGCCTTTGTAAAAAGTATATATCACATCTCTCTCATTCACGTCACTCACTCAGACACAGCTTTGGCCCCCCAGTCAAACACGTTGCCAGCTAGAAGGCCTCTAACCAGAGCGAACTGCCTCTGATCCCAGCTCAGCTCCTCCAGAGACTTCACCACCTTCTGGTAATATTTCAGCGCCATGTCGTTCTCCCGCTGCTTTATCTGTGAACACAGAAGAGCTCAGGAGAACCCGACCTCCACAGTGTTGTAGCAGCACATCTATACCACAGCGTAAAGAGGTAAAGGCAAAGAATCATTAGGGAATTTAGAAGAAAGAGGTCTGTGAAGGTGATCAGGGTTAGGATGGTTCACAGCTTTAATCTCATACTGTGGTACTGAACCCAATGATAATTACACTGTTTTGAGTTGGAGTAATTTAGAGTCTGAGTGATAAAATCACAGTACAACAAATAGGAATTAGGATGTTTTTATTGTTAAATAAACAGGGATATTTAATTGTCCTTTGAGAAACACAATAAGAGGAAGTCCACTCATTTTTCTAAATTTTGTGCATAATTAAATTGTTAATTTGTAAACAAAGTTATTCATCTAGAGAAACTTACTAAACCAGAATTGTTCACATCACATCCCTAAAAACCCCTGCAAAGAAACTTATTACATGAAATGAATAGAAACACCCTGCCAGATGCCTAAGATACTGTTTTATAATAGTTCTACAAAAAGTATGTATTTGCATCCATCCATCAATCCGTGGATCGGTCCAGTTCATGGTGGCGAGGTACATGCAGGGCGATATAAAGGCAAAAGGATCCCTAAAGAAAACTTTTTTTCCCCAGATTTACCACAATTTTACCATTTATCACCTTTTGTATAAAAAACTTTAGGTTTTTTATACACACGTAGGTTTACTTGTTCTTTTTTAACCCTTAGAACCCTACAGTTTTTGGGATTTTGTTTTGGTATTTTGGATCAATTACAAATACAACTGCAATTATAAAGTATTTACATGTGGCAGTCACATGCCATATATTGTTATTTTCAGGAGACCCTGGGCTGCTCAGATACGCCATGATTTGACTTGTAAATGCTGACAGAAATTTGATATCTTTATAAATTTGGGTCATTTTTAAACCAAATTTTACCTAGCGCCTGCTACATTTTGCATTTTTTGCATATAGAGATTTTTTGCAGATAGTTATCTTTTCAGAAATAGTCTGGAGTGTCTGTGAGCTGATAGTGCAATAATTTTGAGAGTGATTCATTCATTTGGTTATTATGAGTAAAAATAAACAATTAGCATAAGGCGGATGTTTTTTATTGATTTTCTGTACTCTTGGATTCAGGCTGAGTGCTAAAACTGACACACAGCAAGACAGGCTTTATATTTAATTATAAATTGAGTTGCATATTTAAAATCAGATATTTTAATACTCAAAAACAATGTAAACTGAAAGAGCTAAATATTATTCATTTTAGAATCATATTTGTCATATTTGTTGTTATTTATCTGTCAAAATGTGTTTTAGGGCCTGTTTGTGTGATTTTGAGGGAAAGAGGGAAAGTGCACTCATTGTGTTGAAAGGGACACTGCAGTTTTATCGCCTTTTTCCGCCCTCCACCCCCCCAAACCCCCCCCACCTCTTCTCAGCAGCATGTTTTCAGCAGATTTTACATAAGGAAATCTGTCATATTGCTCAGGCATGCAGTTTGCAAAATGCTTATTGGTGGCAAAAAGCTTCTGCTACTCATTAGCTACGTTAGCCTCACAGCTTCAGTTCAAAACTAAAGAACAAACTTCAAACACCAGATGTCTTGCCTGATCGACCACATTTGAAGTGATGAGGAAAACTATACAAATTTGTGTTTTGGCCAAACCATCACTTTAAGGAAAAAAAAAAACACTTTTTGAGGAATCCAAGATTTAGAGACACTTTTCTGTCATTATGAAGATGGACATTATGAAGAACACCGCACTCAAACTACAGACTGCTAGTGCACTTGAAGCTTCCCGGGAGCCCTACATCACTTTGTCCATTCAAGCACTGATGATCTAGGCATATAGCAATTATTATCTTTCAAAGGAGAACAAAAAAGCAGTTCAAACCTTAGAATAGGGGTCAGGGAAGTTAAACTCGTTCAGACAGTGTTCTCTTGTGTCCAGCAGACTTCGAACAGTGAGGGATCCGTAAGCACTTATGAACAGAAAAAGAGAGACTGAAGTTAGGAGGAGGCAAATTCAACATTCAGTGAGAGCTGCACAATTAATACGATGCCCAAAAGTATCCAGACACCCCAGCTATTTAGTGAATTCAACTACTTTAAGGTGCACCCACTGCTGACACAGGCGCTCAAACAGCTTGAATAATCTCCATAGAAAAGCAGTGACAATGGAGCAGGAGCTTTCCAGAAGAGTAGAGGCTGTTACTATGTACAAACTTTTACAGGGTCATGTTTTTGTGTCTTTTTCTTGGAAACTATATGAAATGAGTGGGTGATTATTATATTGTTATTCAACGCTATCAAGACAAAACCTTGTATCTATTTCTGATTTTTGTCTTAAAATTTTGAAAATGTTCGTTGGCTTTTACATTTTGTTTAAATTTCATGATGAATAGGCCAATAGAAATGGTTCAAAATGAATTATGTTTTTATTAACTTCAATTTAGGGCTGGAAATGTTTTTTTTCCCCCTTCCTATAAAGTTGGCACTTCGAAGATACAAGGTTTTGCATATTTTCCATCCCGTTCAGCAAAGCACAAACACAGACACCCAAATCATAATATGTGCACACTTAGAAGATCTATAAGAGACAATATTAGATACTACTGAAGCCGGAATTTGAGGTTTTCAAGCAACAAAGGTAGCTCTATACTGCTGCTGTTGGAAGAAAACCTCATATCTCCATTATTGTTGTTTTTCGGTTTTTGACATAATTTGAAAATACCTGTTGCTCTTTACGTTGTGTGTAAATTTCATGATTAATGGACTAAAAGAAACGACCCAAAATGACTTGGAAAAAATTCTGGTTCCATTGACTTACATTAAAAGTAAAGTAGGTTTTTTCCTTCTCCTGTAAAGTTACCATTTTGGAGATACGAGTTTTTTTCCCAACAACAGTGATATGTTTGAGGTTATTATGCTGTGAGTGGTAAGCTGTGGCTGAGCCACAATGTGCTCAACATGCTCTCACAAAGGCTGGTGGCGGAGTGTCTGCAGCTTGTGTCGGTACTTCTGCCGGAACTTCTCTGCCCTCTCGGCTGCCTCGGGCTGGTCTTTTTGGCTGGCCACTGCTCGCTTCACCACCTGTCCAAACACAACAGAAAAGCCAATTTTAACCGATTCTGTATACACAGTATTCACATACTGTCCACTTTATTAGCTGGAATTCGAGGCTTAAAGCAGAATGAAGGTCAGTGTTTGACCTGGAGTCACTGAAAAATGTTCAGCAGAAAAGCTCTGCTCGTCATGTGTCACCTTTCACAAAGTAACCAATCAAAAAAGAGGGAGGGTGAAACTGAACTAGAGAGTGAATCTACTGTGAGCCTGCTTCATATACCACGTATGAAACTTAAAGAGCGTTTTGATTTTACACACTAAAGATCTGGAACACATCACCTGTTTTTAAAAAACAGTTTAAAACCTATTTCTTTACTTTAGCCTTTAACTTAAGTATTACTTTTATTTTCTTGTTAGTTTTTTGTTTTTTTCTTTTCATTTATACCTTTATCTTGTGAATTTTAATTGTATTTATTAATATATCCATTTTCTGCTATTTATTATTTGTTTATTATATTTTGTTTTGTTTTCATGGCTTTCTCTGGGTCCAATCATCCATGTGGAAGGCACTCTCAACCGACTTGGGTATGAATCCATCCTTGCAGATCACAAACACCCATACATGCTGATTGTTTTCCCTAGGGCCGATGGGATCTTCCAGCAGGACAATGAGACAATTCACACGGGTAGAAATGCCCCACATTGGTTGGAACAGCATGACCAAGATTTCCGAGTACTCCCCTGGCCCCCTAATTCCCCAGACTTGAACCCAGTTCAGCGTCTGTGGGACCACCTCGATCATCATGTTCGCTCTATGGATCCTCCCCCCGGCCCCCTCCAGCAGCTGTGGGATGCACTGCAGTCAGCATGGCTCCGGATACCTGTGACAACCTACCAGGACTTTAGGGAGTCACTTGCAGCCCGTCTAGCTGCTGTCCGTGCTGCACACAGCAGTTACTCTGGATATTAACTGGTGGTCATAATAATGTGACTCGACTGTAAAGTACCTATTCAGCAGCTGAGGCCCTTATTCATGCTCCTGTAACTGCTAGAATTAGGTATTGCAAAGCTGTCCTCTACTGAGTCCCTGCTCAGTTTAAACAGATCACACTGTGTGTAAAATTCAGCTTCAAGGGTTCGTACCCACAGTAGACCCTGGGATGACATTAGCCCTACCTTAAAGCATTTACACTGGCTCCCTGTATGTTTTCATACACAGTACAAGGTACTTTTATAGATAAGCCCCTCCTATCTATGTAGTTTAAATCAGCCACACTCTCTAAACCACACTCTAAACCACACTCCTTCTAAACCAGGGGTTCTCAAACTTTTCCACATTTTTTTTTTTTCCAAAAAACTTTTCTTTTTTTCCTGAAGGCCTCTGAATTAGGGCCTGAGAAAGAAACCACTTCACTTCAATCACAGAAACCAAAATTTGCAGTTATGTTAGAAAACATAACATGTTAAAGAACATATTGCTGTTGTCGGAAGAAAACATCGTATCTCCAAAATGGTAACTTTACAGGAGAAGGAAAAAACCTTCTTTACTTTTAATGTAAGTCAATGGAACCAGACTTTTTTCCCCCCCAAGTCATTTTGGGCCATTTCTTTTAGTCCATTCTTCATGAAATTTAAAGAAAATGTAAAGAACAACAGGGATTTATTATGATAAAAACCGAAAAACGACAAAAATGGAGATACGAGGTTTTCTTCCGACAGCGGCGATATGTTTGCAGAGATGTCAAAAAAGTGGAAAAAGAAGAAAAGGTAGATGTAGGTGTGGACTGTGATTTGGAGCTGTAGTCCATTATGTTTTCACTGCAAAAACTCTTGTGGCTCCCACAGGAGTCACTGTTTGGTCTGGAGACGTCTCTGTAGTTTTGAGGGTTTTAGCACCTCATTTGAAATAAAACTCACTGAACTCACTGGGCTTTTGGATTAGCGTCATCACAATCAACAATAATGATAAACATTACTTGAAATCTGCTTCTTTGACATTAGTTTATCAATTCAAGTTTAACTCGGGTCGCTGATGCTCGGCCAGAAATCAAACACAGATCTTGGCTATTATTTTAAGGCTCATCTGTCGTTTTAATCAGCTGCAGCTTGAACTGCAGGAACGATATAAGAGCAATGAGAGTCTGTAAAGAGTCAGAGATTAAACAGGCAGATTATGCTGACAGTACAGCACCAATATGCTGCTAGAAGAAGAGGAAAGCCAGCTCTATTGAATGAATTCCCTCATTTCATCATAAAATGCGTTCCCATTAGCAGTGAACTGAACAGGGCTCGGTTGGAAGCAGACCGAGACCTGCGGGTTTTGCTGGACCGGTTCAGCTGTTTGGCGCAGACCCGAATACAGGTGGAGTGTTCACTCACGTCAAAACGGAGCGAACTAAAGAAAAAAGCCCTGAGGATCCTCTCCATCTCTGGCAAACTGTTTGCACTGCGTGTCCGTGGCTGCATCATCTCAAACTGATGACGTTTAGTTACTGCGATGTTTTCATTAATACGTCTCTACCAGCCCACTACGAACTACTGCCTCCCCCTGAATACAGGCCCATAGACCACAGATTGCAACAGTCTCCACCAGGAACAGTGCACCTGTACATCTTTCTCTATTTTTAACACTCATCTTATAATGACTTGTTCCTCCGCACATTTTCGTTTAATATTATTGGTTTACCTATTGTTGATATTAGTAGTACTTAGTACTTTTTCTCTTTATTTAAAGCTGCACTATGTAAGTTTTGGTGATTGGGATACCTCTATGGTGGAAATGTATGTGTGGAAGAATACAGGGTGATTCAAAAAGATTCATCCGATTTCAAAGCGCCATATTTTTATAACCGTGAGGTGCCTAGGAGCCAATCACAATCCAATTGAAAGAGGGGGTCATAGAGTTTCTGTCACCGGAAGATGGCTCCCTTCAGTCTGAGAGGAGATGAGACCCCTGAGCAGAAAGCGTTCTGCGTTCTCCACTTCAATAAGAGTGAATCCGTCATAGCTGTGCAGTGTGATTTTCGTGGCCAGTGAAGCTCCAGCAGCTCAGAGCGTTCGTCGCTGGTTCCACAACACTGGATGATCTCCGAAATCGCACTGAAAGAGCCGTGAGTGCAGCGACACCCGACATGCTCAATCCAGTATGGGATGAATTTGACTATGGTGTTGATGTTGTCCGTACAGCTGGAGGAGGTTCATACTGAGACCTTGTACAATTACATAATAAACTTCATGCTCATTTAAACCATTTACAGTTTACTGCACTGATCTGAAATTGGATGAATCTTTTTGAATAACCCTGTATTTTGTGCTTCGGACCTCTGCCTGAGCGGTTAAATTTGATGTTCGCAAGCGACCTGAATGGTGAGTATAAATAAACTTCTATTATTATTGTAAATACATATCAAATACATTTCAAAATACAACAATCATAGGTTAAAGTTGAAGTCACTATGTGGTTCAGGGCATCCAACAAGCCACAGAGAGGCCTTACCCCGTCCAGTGCTTCCTCAAAACAGTAGAGCCAGTACTCTCTGGCCAGTGCATCCTCTGTCAGGTCCACCGTGTCAGGGATGTAGGAGGAGGGGTCCTGCAGGAGGGGCAGATTCACCAGCTGCCTCTCCAGACGGTCCATCTCCAGCATATCAAACTGGACACATAAAAGGAGAGAGAGCAAGAGATCAGAGCAAAAATACCACTTTACTCCCGTAAAGTGATAAACTGGCCAAAAACCTAATTTATACAGTTTACCCCATCCCAAATGTAGTCACTCATTCAAAACATATTTAGTGTTAAGTAATAGAAAATTCATAGTTGTGCATTATGGTGAGTAGCATCACGTCGGTCACATTATAAACGTGAAAATGTCTTTAAATATTGTGATATTATATTTTTTCCAAATTGCCCACCCTTGTGGTCAAGAAGAGCTGTATTTATTGATCAGATCCCCAAGACTCATGTTAACGCAAGGTGTAAACAAAGCTTTGGATCTGTATTGCAGAATTCTAGATGTCTTGGCTGATCGACTACATTTTGGATGGAGAGAAAACTGTAGATTAGATTTTACGTTTAACCATCATTTTAAGAGTCAACTCAAAAGAGTCATCAGAGCAAAGTCTGGGGAACTGTGTGTTACTTAAGGGAGCCATTTTGATGGCAATACAAAAAATTTCTAGCATTAACATTGAGCAGTTACACTGATCAGGCATAACATCATGACCACCTCCTTGTTTCTATGCTCATTGTCCATTTTATCAGCTCCACTTACTATATAGGTGCACTTTGTAGTTCTACAGTTACAGACTGTAGTCCATCTGTTTCTCTGATACTTTGTTAGCCCCCTTTTACCCTGTTCTTCAGTGGTCAGGACCCCCATGGACCCTCACAGAGCAGGTACTATTTGGGTGGTGGATCATTCTCAGCACTGCAGTGACACTGACGTGGTGGTGGTGTGTTAGTGCGCGTTGCGCTGGTCTGAGTGGATCAGACACAGCAGTGCTGCTGGAGTTTTTAAACACTGTCCACTCACTGTCCACTCTATTAGACACTCCTACCTTGTCGGTCCACCTTGTAGATGTGAAGTCAGAGACGATAGCTCATCTGCTGCTGCACAGTTTGTGTTGGTCATCCTCTAGTCCTTCATCAGTGGTCACAGGACGCTGCCCACAGGACGCTGTTGGCTGGATATTTTTGGTTGGTGGACTATTCTCAGTCCAGCAGTGACACTGAGGTGTTTAAAAACTCCAGCAGCACTGCTGTGTCTGATCCACTCAGACCAGCGCAACGCGCACTAACACACCACCACCACGTCAGTGTCACTGCAGTGCTGAGAATGATCCACCACCCAAATAGTACCTGCTCTGTGAGGGTCCATGGGGGTCCTGACCACTGAAGAACAGGGTAAAAGGGGGCTAACAAAGTATCAGAGAAACAGATGGACTACAGTCTGTAACTGTAGAACTACAAAGTGCACCTATATAGTAAGTGGAGCTGATAAAATGGACAATGAGCGCAGAAACAAGGAGGTGGTCATAATGTTACGCCTGATTGGTGTATTAAAAAAGAAAAAGCTGCAGTACATTAGCTTCTTCAGCCTAATTAGCCACATAGCAATAGATCAATGTTTTCCTTACAATGCTGTCAAAATGCTCCCCATCAGCATCACATTTCACACGGCAGCAAATTCTCAAAATATCCAAGACAGTGAGTTCGCATCCACAATTAGAGCACTATAATCTGTTATCTACTGCCTTGCGTACCCCTATGGCGATGAGCAATATGCAATAAATTCACCACAACTCTAAGTACACAAACATTACTCTAAACAGCAAAAAACAGAGGATCAGCACTTCTCACAGTAACCAAAAAGCCAAAAGAAGAAAAGAGCAGAAAGCTGCAAATGAAAGCACTTGTGGACAGGTACTTACAAGGAACTGATGGAAAATGTTTAGGGAAAGAGGGAAGAGATGGATGAATGGAAAAGAAGTGAAAAAGAACATTAAAGAACAGAGAAAAATGGAATAAACAAGCGGCAATGACGATGAAAATCAATTTCTTAAAATTATAGTTTTAAAAAAAAAAGCTTTTTTGCTAGGGATGGGCGTGGTTATTCAAATACACAGAATTCAAACTCGTCATATTCCAGCTGGATTAGTTTCACCAGAGGAGGTCCGGTAATGTGAATTGTAAAAGACCTAACTGGCTGGTTTGTACGAGTAAAGTATTTGTATAATTTCCACAAATTACCTCAGACAGCCTGGATTTAAACGTCACTGTCCAGCAAAGTGAGCTCATTCAGATTTACAAATGCCGCCCAAGGCAGAAATCACCCTGTCCCATGAGAAGAACTTTTAAGATGTTTTATTTTCATTCTCCTTTTAATTAGTCCATCACCAAAAATGTTGTATAATACAGTAGTTTTGCTTTGAACTTGAGGATAAAAGAACTGTGAAACTCATCATTTACCGTTAGCAGGATCTGTTATTACATTACTGTGAGGTCGATTAGAACAGGACTACTATTACAAAGGTTCTCTGGGTTCTACAAATTATTGAAGGTACTTATTATTACTCAGCATGCGCCCGTCCCCTGGGCCCCGAAGACGGCCGCGAGAGCCGGCAGGAAGGCGGGGCCTGAACTCCGAGCGAGGACGAAGCCCGGCGAGGACGGCGGAGAGAGGAACACCGCAAGTGAGTGGGGGGCGGCAAAGAGTCCCGAGACCCGCCTCCTGTGGACCGTCTCGGGTCCCGCAATGAGGCCCCTTTAATTTGCCTTAAGTTTGAGCCGGGCAGCCTTGCATTGTTCTAATCTGATTTTTTGCTCAAATCTGATCTCTCTGACACGATGGTTCACACTCGTTTAGGTAAGTGATTCAAATCCGTCATTAATGTGACGAACTGGCGTCCTGAAATGACCCTCATGCGCACATCCTACTCAGTAACGTCACGTGAATGAATCACGTTCATCATCAGCACAAACTAACGAGCAGAACGAGCTTCGCTGAGAAGATCATTAACTCAGATCAGCTCTCAGCTTCATTATTAGAGCGAGACGAAGGAGAAAAAGGTGAGATGAGCTGCTTTTCCACCGTTTACAGGCTTTAACTTCTGTTCGGCGCTGCTGCCATGGTAACGCTGAATGATGGCGCAGCGTAGTGGAAAAAAAAGCGCATGAATTCCGATCTGACGTCACATTAAGGTCGCATGGCCACGAATCGGATATGTATCCGATCTAGGACCACATATGAAAGTGATTCAAGTCAGATTTGAAAAGATCATGCCGCGCCACGCTATGGATACTGCATATTTGTACTGGATTAAAATCACAGATGTCGTCTATAATAACTTAAATAACAGCACCTCCACAGGTAATACAAATCCAGCTTGAGTATGGCTATAAAACGTATTCATGTAATTGGTTACTCAAATAAGGCATGTATATTTTGAAATAAACAAAATTGAATAAATCGTGTACTATGAAGTTGTTTTGTGTCCCATTTTAAGCAAAATGGCCCTAACTAAGCAAAGTCATATATCATCAGAACCATAGGGTACAGATCACTTCTTATGCTAACTGCATGCGCTAAACAAATCTTAAACTTCAAGTGTTCCTGTATTTTTTTGTTGGGATATTTAAACACTATTTGTTTAATTGTCTAAATCCTTACTTTCTATCTGGCTACTCAATTTTCTCTACTGGTAATAGGGAACACAGACGGGTGGTCTATGAGGGTACACTCACTGTGCCGCTGCGAGCTCGCTGCATGGGGTTCAGATCCGGGGAGACGCTCATCAGCCCTGAGCTGCCAGCGTAGTTCTCACCCCAGCTGTACTGGTTCGGATCTAAACAGAAACAATAAATACATTTATAGTATTTGCAGAAAAATGTTACCATTCAAAAGCATTTCAGCCAGAGTTTAGGTTGAGTGTGTCCAAAGTTCGAGGACACTTTGACTGTTCTGAAACGGTCGCTGTTACTTTCCAATTGAATTTGAAAAATACTTCGCTTCAACAGCTTTGTGTCCATACTGTGTCTTCCTTGGCAAAAAATGGCCAATAAGTATAACCTATTCATTTTTCAGTGTCAAGAAAAAAGCAGAAAACATTGGAATTACACACACGCCTCAACAACTAAATATCAACTTTTACAGTATTTAGTTTGTTCACTCTTTGTCTTTATTACAGGTTCCACTGTTTTCGAGAGACCTGCTTTCAGTTTTTCAAAATGAGTATTTTTCCACACTTTAGTTCCACAGTTCAGTCTTAGAAGCTGGTTGCAATTTCTGCTTTTGACAATGCAAGTATATCCAAACACATTCAATGATGTTGAGGAGTGGACTCTGAGGACACCAGCAGCTCCTTTGTTTATTTCCAAATTGTCTTCTCGTTTGTCTATTTCCTTTTTTTCAGTAACAGCTTCTTGACTGCTACGCATCCTTTCAAACTCATAGTGTTGAGTTGTCTTCTTACAGTCGAAGGATGGACCGAAACACCTGCAGATTTTTTCATATCTAAAGCAAGAGTGGAGCATGATTTTCTCCTCTCTCTCAAAGATGAAAGCTTTAAGTTCGGTTTACCTGATGGTTGTGGTGGCCTATCAGGTCTTGCATGATTGTCAAATCAAATCTCCTCAGAAATATCGCCCAAAAATGTACTTAATGGAAGTTTTAACTGGAAATTAAATAAATGAAAGATGGCCTCTCACATGTGTACATTACTGTAAACAGCTGAAAGATCTGAGTCCTGAGCTGTGGTATTATCCTCTTTGGTATTATCCTCAAGGTAGAGCATTTGTGTTTTTTTTTTTTTTAGTTTTTGCAAAAAAAAGATCTGAAGAGTTTTCTATTTAAGATATGGAAGGCTTTGTTCACACAGCAGGTAAAAGTGGCCCAAATCTGATCTTTTTCTTCATATGTGACACAGATGTGTGTCTGTGTGTCAGTGTGAACAGATAAACACACTGAATCTGACATTTTCAATTCTGATTTGAGACCCTTTCATATGTGGTACTGAAATCCGATACATATCCGAACTGCGGCAATGCGACTCAGTCTGAACAGCCAGATCGGAATTCATGCAACTTTTACGTCAATCCAACTCGACATTCGTCATAATTTTGCGCTGCTGAGACTCAAACATTTGGGCTGATGTTTCTCTACCAAAAAATTGGAAGGCACTTATCAAAACCCTCCGTGTTTGAAGAGATTTCTAAAGAAATGTCCGAACGCGGCCGCAGGAGAACGAGGCTGCAGCGTCAAAGAACAGTTAAAAGACTGAAAGCAAAGTTTAAAGAATCCGAGGACGCGAACCAAAGAAGTGACCGCGCCCTTTTTATGGTGAACTGAACTCATTCTGGGTGATGAGTCCAGCTGTCAGTCAGTGAAGCTTCATGATGGCTCCTGTGATGCTGGTGAAGATGAAGCTGATCCTCCGGGAGCGACTGGCGTTCGTTGGCGGTCGTGATTGTTTACCTCTGGATGAGCCGTGAAGCAGCGTGACGCTCTGATCTTTTGCGCATGTGGCTCAGTTTAGGAGCTGATCTGTTCAGACTGATGTCGCATACAGATCACATTTAAAAGATAATCTGAACAGCCAAACAAAAAAAAATCAGATTTGGTGAGAAAATCAGATTTGGGCCACTTTTACCTGCTGACCAACATATTCAGTGTTAAAAACATTAATAAAAGAGGTTTCCCTAATTTTTTAACAGGGTGGGTACCTCTTTCCATGTTTTAGAAAACAACTTACTGTCTTCTTCTGCTCCTTTCAGAAAAGCCCCAATGGCCCCTAAATAGCCTTCATGTCTTAAAAACAACGCCTGCACTTCTCCCTGCAAAACAAAGACAATGTAGCATCCAAAAAGAATTCTGTTCAGTCTTCAGCTAGGACAATGGGCCTAGCTACACCTTGCATTAACATGCATTTATGGTGATTGGATCACAATCAGACTTCAGAGATTTCCACATGAAAAGCAGGTGAAAACACCCCCAGGACACGTTGTGAATGGGTTACGATTGGATCAGTTAAACCACATTCGGAGGTGGTCAGAGACGGATCTGGACCAAATTTAACGTAGTGTAAATGGAATGCGTTTCAGATATCCGTATACAACTACATGAGCAGAAACGCTGAGTGCTGACTAGCAGGTGAGAGAACAAACAATGAAAGGAAACACGAAGGATACATGAAGCTGAAGTTGGCCTCAACTAAGCGCCGTCTTCACTTCAGATTGATGAGAATGTCCAAGCTAAGCCTGTCGATTTGTGTCGTATCATGAAAAAGAAGTGTTGACCTGCTTCTTTCACAGGAAAAGTACAACTGAATCTCATCGAGATACGATCCAAACACAAACTACATGTTAATGCAAGGTGTAAACAGGTTCAACATGTAACAGTACAGCTCGTACATCCAACTGCATTTGACATTATACATGTATTGATATACGTAGCAGGTAAAATAATGGGCTGGTTACTTAAGCAATAGAACACGAAAGGGAGTGTGTTATCACAAAATAACATCATGTTATTGGCGATAACACACTCCTCGAGTGTTCTATTGGTTTTATACAACAGTTAAATAAATAAAGTAATAAATTAATAAACTGGGCCGTGAACGCGGCGTTTAATATGTTTTAATGTTCGCAGTTCCTTCACCAAATTATAGTTCCTTAACGAGCAGCTTGTTGCTGCGTCAGAGTAACGAGCTCCGCCCACTCGCTGCACAGCCGGCAGTTCGTTCTGCAGCTCCTCACACTAAATTCCCAAACTGTCATCACCACTGAGCAGCTTTTCAGTCGGCAGCTGTGACAGAAGAACAGCTAAATAACCTGAAATCAGCCAGAAATGAACCCAACACCATTCGCCAAACGTGTAGTCTGATCTTCAGAGTCTGACCAAATCAGACTGAGCCATAAACCTGCAGCAATATCAAGTTTAGCTCAGTTTTGTCAGTTTTTGCCAGATCAGTATTAATGTTGTTTTGTTCCAGCCAGTCTGTAAAGCATCTTACAGCCCATTTAGTTTGGCGAATGGTGTTGGGTTCATTTCTGGCTGATTCCAGGTTGTTCAGCTGTTCTTCTGTCACAGCTGCCGACTGAAAAGCTGCTCAGTGGTGATGACAGTTTGGGAATTTAGTGTCGTCTCATCTTCAGAGTCTGACCAAATCAGCTGTCGGTCAAATGTGATCTTAAAAGTGTCCGTTTTCTGTTTGTGGCAAAGTAAAAACGTTCAAATGTCTTGAGCGTCTCCTACAGCTGTCAAAGTCGCTGCTTAGCAACAGCGTCTCAGCAGAGTGATACAGTGTTTGTGTAAAAACTAAATAACAGCACGGTTAGAACGCTTCTCAACCAATCAGCTCGCGTGGCCGGAACTAACTGTTGTACAATACGTACTACTATACCGAGTTGAAATGGAATGGAATGACATTACCTTGGTGAAGAAGTTGATGCTGTAGGTGATGGTGTGCATGGTGACTGGGTGTCCACGGATGAAGAATCCTCCAAAGTACACTCTGGTCAGATTATGCAGTTTGGCGTACAGGCAGGCCAGCTGCCCAATATCATTACTGATCATGTGCAGCAGGCTCTTGGCCATGTCTTCTTTGGAGAACTCTGATCAAACATTGGATCACAATCATAGTAAAAAGTTAGTGAAAATCTTTAGAGAGAGTGTAAGAGAGAGTCTTTTAACGGCTCAGCAAAAATCAAATGAGCATGGTTTTAGTAATGCTAACCATATGCAAGAAGACTTTGAAAAGACTTTGAAAAGACTGTTGAAGGACTAAAGTCTGACACCCTCTCTCATCCAAAAACAATGTCAGAGTTTTTAGTCAGAGAATATGATTTTTCAAAGAATGGGGATCTTGCAGTGTCGCTATTTGCAAAACTGCAACTAGATTTTTCAGATTATTTCCCATCATGCACCTGGTAGAAATTTACAAGCAGAGAAACCTTTTCCTTCTCCACTCTGTAGTCGTACAGATGGGAAGACACTTTGACTGGGCGTGTAAAGATCTGAGGCTCAGCCCAGTTCATAGAACTGTATATTCTGGCAGATCATCACTCAGAATGGTTTTAATTAACCTGTAAAATGTGCAGCTACTTTTTTATTTAACATAAAGATTCACACATCAACAAAACAGGCAGTGATTCAGCACTGCTGATTGGGTGTCATGACCTAAACCATAAAAACAAACAAACAAAATAAGAAACCACTGCAACAGGAAGCCTGCGATAGACTGGCGACCTGTCCAGGGTGTATCCTGCCCTCCTTTTAATGATGGCTGGGATAGGCTCCAGCACCCCCTGGGACCCAGAAGGATAAGCAGTTTAGAAATAGTGTGTGTGTGTGTGTGTGTGTGTGTGTGTGTGTGTGTTTAAAATTAAATTAAAAAAAATAATAATTGATGATTCTTTAATAAAGCCGTTCTTAAAGTCCTCTGCAGATTTCCTTACATCACTGTTACACTGAGTGAACCTGAAATATTAACAGCCAGTTTATATGTTTAAGTAAATGATTATTGTTTTAAAGTGGAGCAGATGCATTTTCTCTCTCTCTCTCTCCTTTCTCTCTCTCTCTCTCTCTCTCTCTCCCTCCCTCCCTCCCTCCCTCCCTCCCTCCTTGCATTAGCCAACACTTAAAACTTACCACAATATTAAACACGGTTGATTTTGTCGTAGCATCAAGACGAGTGTTAGTCTGACCTAAGACGGCCATCGTGACCACCTCACACTAAACGATCGAGATGCAGGAAGACCCTCATGATTTTATTCTGACATTGGAAATTTGTCTGCGACAGCGAAATCGCTTTTTAAAGTCGTCTGGTCTGGCATAAGTCTTTTTTTAATTTTAAAGTATTTAGCAAGTCTATTTAAAAATACTTGTCATTTAAAGCAAATATGTCATGATTCAGGCATGCAGTTTGCACGATGCTAATTCAGTGTATACTCTCTTACATGCTACTATTTTTGTGCACTACCATTCAAAAGTTGCCACGTACTTGCCATATTAACGATGTTTGTCATTTCATATACAATACAATGTCAAATTCAATATTAAAATTTTCATCCAACCGTATTTTTAGAGGTTTCATTCAATATTTTAGCAATCTGGTCAACAAGAAATTATTACATGATAAATCAAACACTATAATTAAGCATAATTATCTATTTAAATTTTTTTTTCTCAATTTATTTTGAGATTTGGTCTCCACTTTTGAAATATTTTATTGTAACTTAGTGATGTTCGGTCTTAGTCATTTAAGAATCTTTTATACTGCCTCACTCGTTATTTGAAATCTGTGAAGTTACACAGAACCAGCACATTAACATCATTTTATAGTCCGCAATTAAATTTTATGAGACCAGTGATCACAAGCTTTTGAACAGTAGCGTTCGTTCTTCAGCACACAGCTTTGTATTACTCTTTTGGGTTATATCCGAACCCTTAAGGCTCTCCACGTCAGAACACAAGACCTTTCACTCCATTTCTTAACAGGAATAGCGAAGAGAAGACGGAGCCTGAAAACTGGGTGAAAGGTCACCCGCTTGTGTTTGCCAGAGGAAAACAGTCACGGTGTAATTATTAACAAAGGTGCGAAAAAGTACAACCAAAACACTGGCCGGGGGGGTCATGTGGGTCACCTTTGTCTGCGGTGGCCGATTTGCCGAAGCTGCTTGCTATGAGGTCTCCCGTTAACCCTAAAGAGCCGTATGCACCCCCGTAGATGTCCTTCACCAGCATGTCCACATTGGTATGCTGCCCCTTGGAGGCCAACTGCAAAAGCTCATCAAATCTCTGTTATGGTCAGAAGGGAGTTGAATTAATAACAATAATCAAAAACAGAAGACAGAAATACCTCTGGGACGTACCTGGATGGAATATAAAACACAGACACATGCAACCAGTGGTGGACAGTAATGAAGTAAATGTAATTCGTTGCTGTACTTAAGTAGTTTTTTTGTGTATCTGTACTTTACTGAAGTTTTTCCATTTTGGGTGACTGTTTACTTTCACTCCACTACATTTCAAAGTCAAATATCTCACTTTTTACTCCACTACATTATGAGAAATCTGTCGCTCCTTTTGGTTTATATGTGCATAAAAACATATCATGTCAAAACAAAAGAAACGTGAAGCAAGAACACCAATCAGGGCACAGCGCGCTCTTTGTTTTGAGCTTGTTTTGACCTGTTGGACATTCAGACCCAGTGCAGCACACAGTTCAACATCAGTGCAACTGTAAAAGTTTGGGAGAGTCTGTTCAACATAAATGATGGAAGAAACTCCAACCTAACTTTGTGTAAATAAACCACAATGTAGAAATATGTACACATATGCAGTTGTGACTGACGTGTCTTTATTCTGAATTTTCTGAATACAAACACTATTTCATTTAATAGTAAATTTGTTTTGGCTAGTTTATGTTTATGAACAGAGACCTACAGATGCAGTTTAGTAAAGGAAACTCATTTGTGAATCTGAGTTTAAAGTTTTTTATTAAACTTAAACTTGTAACTAAGTTTCTAAATCCTAATATGAAACTTTACTTGTTTGTAAAAAGTGATTTCAGAGCCACTCAGCGTCACTAATTAATGACCTTCTATTAAAGACTGGTTTACCAAGAGAGACACTGGAGTATTTTCACCTATAATGAGTTAATGAAGCGAGTCTTGTTACAAAAATGATAACAGGACATCAGAGTCATAATTAATCTTTTAGTACTTTTACTTTCGATACTTAAGTACATTTGAAGGCAAATACTTTTGTACTTTTACTCAAGTGGAGGTCTAAAGGGAGGAACTTCTACTTTCACTGGAGTAATATTTTACCTTGGGTATCTCTACTTTAACTCAAGTATGTGGTTTGTGTACTTCGTCCACCACTGCATGCAACTAAGCAATTCACCTTAGTCTTCGTGAGCAAAGCTCCAAGACCCCAAAAGGTACCACCGCCAATAGAACTCCCACCAATGCGCTCATATTTGTCCTCTGATTCAACCTTCAAAGAGAGAACACATGCTGAGAATTTGTCTAGTTTCATTAATGACATCATATTAGCGATATGAAGCTGCTGTCATTCTCATGAAGTATATCATGGGTATCATTAGTACTTCAAGAGCACTAGCTGTGTCCCAATTCAGGGGCTGCGTCCTTCCAAGGCTGCATTTAAAGGCTGCGTCACAGCAGCACGACTAGGCCGTCCCATTTCGAAGGCTCCTTCGTACGCAGCCTTTTCCATGACAATGAAGGATCCAACGGGTGGATCCTTTGCCAGCCAACACATCCCGAGGTTCAGTGTGAGCCGGCGAGGATTCGAGAACATGGTGGCGTCAGCAGAGTCGAATAGCGAACGATACAAAGTCAAAAATAAAAACTAAATAAACGAATCTCATCAGTAGCCGGTGGTGAAGCATCTTCAGCTCTAATAAATGGAAAGACCTCTGTCTTTACAGAACTTTGAAAGAACTTGACTGGAGTGGCGTTTCATGACGCTGTGGTCAGGACGGGAACAGCGGTGCTGTGACACAAACCCGCCGTAGGACAGACCATCTCGGTTCAGCCTTCTAGGGTCTAAGCAGCCTTCAGAGGACACGCCTTTGTAGACCGCATCCTTCAAAGGATGAAGCCCCTGAATTGGGACACACTGACTAAATAACTGCACGAGTCATAAAAAGACCAATTATATCGCTGTTGTCAGATGAAAACCTTGTATCTCCGTTTTTTGTCATTTTTCGGTTTTTGACATAATTTGAAAATACCTGTTGTTCTTTACATTGTGTGTAAATTTCATGATGAATGGACCAAAAGAAACGACCCAAAATGACTTAGAAAAAAAGTCTGGTTCCATTGACTGACATTAAAAATAAGGCAGGTTTTCTCCTTTTCCTGTAAAGTTATCAGGTAATCAACTACTACTATAGCCCTGTTTTCTGGTGCATCTTATCCATTTCAACTTGTTTGCAAACCTCAGAAAAACTAAATACTGCGTATTGTGAAAACGTCAAGTATCATGATGTTATATTTTGCAATATTACCCACCTTTGCAACATATTATATGAACACAGTCACTGAACTAGAAAGAGTTAGATATCTAATCTTCCGCTAAAAGACCAAAGAGACTTACCTTCACAATAGAAACTCCAGAGCCAATGTTAACAAGGAGATAAGGGAAGATGTCTGGGTGTGTATTCTGGAAACGGAATTCAGAGTCGGCATGCTTAGCATAAACGAAAGCTTCATGGGGGATGTTCCTCAGCACAAAATTACAGCCTTTGATCAGACAGGTCATCTCATCCTCTTTGTCCACTCTGCGAAAAGAGAAATTTAACATTCAGGCTACAGCAGATATTAAAGAAGCAATATAGTAATATAAGTAATATAACTGTTCATTCCAAGA